ATCAGTGAACTAAAATGGACAGGAATGGGTGAATTCAATTCACATGACCATCAGGTATACTACTGAGGGCAAGAATTCCTCAGAAGAAATGGAGTAGCCTTCATAGTCAATAAAAGAGTAGGAAAAGCAGTACTGGGATACAATCTCCAAAATGACAGAATGATCTCAGTTCAAATCCAAGGCAAACCATTCAACATCGCAGTAGTCCAAGTCTATGCCCCAACCACTGGAGCTGAAGAGGCTGAAGTTGACCAGTTCTATGAAGGCCTACAAAACCTTCTAGAATTAACACCAAAAAATGATGTCCTTAGCATCATGGGGGATTGGAATGCTGAAGTAGGAAGCCAAAAGATAACTGGAATAACAGGCAAGTTTGTCCTTGGAGTACAAAATGAAGCAGGGCCCAGGCTGGTAGAATTTTGTCAAGAGAATACGATGGTCAAAGCAAACACTCTTTTCCAACAACCCAAGAGACGACTCTACACATGGACATCACCAGACAGTCAACACAGAAATTAGATTGACTATGTCCTCTGCAGCCAAAGATGGAGAAGCTCTATACAGTCAGTAAAAACCTAGACCAGGAGCTGACTGTGGCTCAAATCATGAGCTTCTGGTTGCAAAATTTAGGCTTAAGTTCAAGAAAGTAGGGAAAAGCACTAGGCCACTCAGGTATGACCTAAATCATATTCCTGATAAATATACAGTAGAGGTGACAAATAGATTTAAGGAATTAGATCTGATAGACAGAGTGTCCCAAAAATTATGGATGGAGGTTTGCAACATTGTACAAGAGGTAGCAACTAAAACCATCCCAAAGAAAAAGAAATGCAAGAAAGCAAAATGGCTGTCTGAGGAAGCTTTACAAATAGCTGAGGAAAGAAGGGAAGTGAAAGGCAAGGGAGAAAGAGAAAGATACACCCAATTGAATGCAGAATTCCAGAGAACAGCTAGAAGAGATAAGAATGCCTTCTAAAATGAACAGTGCAAAGAAATAGAATAAAACAATAGAATAGGGAGGAACAGAGATCTCTTCAAGAAAATTGGAAATATAAAGGGAATGTTTTATGCAAAGATGGGCATGATACAGAACCAAAATGGCAGGGACCTAACAGAGGCAGAAGAGATTAAGAAGAGGTGGCAAGATTACACAGAAGAACTATACAAGAAAGAGCTTAACGTCCCTGACAGCCACAATGAGGTGGTCACTGACCTCAAGCCAGACGTCCTGGAATGTGAAGTCAAATGGGCCTTAGGAAGTCTGAGCAACAACAAAGCTAGTGGAGGTGACAGTATTCCAGCTGAGCTATTAAAAATCTTTAAAGATAATGCAGTAAAAGTACTACACTCAATATGCCAGCAAGTTTGGAAAACTCAGCAGTGGCCACAGGATTGGAAAAGGTCAGTTTACATTCCAATCCTAAAGAAGGACAATGCCAAAGAATGTTCAAACTACTGCACCATTGCACTAATTTCACATGCTAGTAAGTTATGCTCAAAATCCTACAAGCTAGGCTCCAGCAGTATGTGGACCGAGAACTACCAGAAGTACAGGCAGGATTTCAAAGAGGCAGAGGAACTAGAGATCAAATTGCCAACATACGCTGGATCATGGAGAAAGCTAGGGAGTTCCAGAAAAACATCTACTTCTGCTTCATTGACTATGCTAAAGCCTTTGATTGTGTGGATCACAACAAATTGTGGCAAGTTCTTAAAGAGATGGGAGTACCAGACCATCTTATTTGTCTCTTGAGAAACCTATATGCGGGTCAAGAAGCAACAGTGAGAACTGGGCACAGAACCACTGATTGGTTCAAAATTGAGAAAGGAGTTCGGCAAGGCTGTATACTGTTGCCCTGCCTATTTAACTTATATGCAGAGCACATCATGAGAAAGGTGGGGTTAGATGAATCACCAGTTGGAATTAAGATTGCTGGGAGACATATCAACAACCTCAGATATGCAAATGATACCACTCTAATGCCAGAAAGTGAAGAGAAACTAAAGAGCCTCTTGATGCAGGTGAAGGAGGAGAGTGCAAAAGTTGGCTTGAAACTTGACATTAAGAAAACTAAGATCATGGCATCTGGTCCTCTCACTTCCTGGCAAATAGATGGGGAAGAAATGGAGGTAGTGACAGATTTTATTTTCCTGGGCTCCAAGATTACCACAGATGGGGACTGCAGCCAAGAAATTAAAAGACGCTTGCTCCTGGAGAGGAAAGCTATGGCAAATCTAGACAGCATACTAAAAAGCAGAGACATCACCCTGCCGACAAAAGTGCGTATAGTCAAGGCTATGGTTTTCCCAGTTGTAATGTAATTGAAGGAATGCCTGCGGCCGTATTTGCCCTCCCGCCCCTTGAGATCGGCAGCAGGGGCTCTCCTCTGGGAGCCTTCCGTAAGAGATATCAGGAAGCAAAGTACCTGGAGGAGGGCCTTCTCTGCGGTGGCGCCCCATCTGTGGAATGCGCTCCCCTTAGAGGTCCACCTGGCGCCGTCATTATTTGTTTTTTGGCGCCAGGCCAAGACCTTTTTATTTAAACAGTATTTTAATAATCTTTAATATTTATAGTTTTAATTCTGCAGCCAGTGTGTTTCCAAGTTTTAATTGTAATTGTAATTTTATTTGTTTTATTTATTTGTGTTGTGAGCCATCCCGACGCTGTGTAGCAATGGGGACGGCATATAAAAACTTCAAATAAATAAATAAATGTATGGCTGTGAAAGTTGGACCATAAGGAAGGCTAAGTGTCGAAGAATTGAGGCCTTTGAATTGTGGTGCTGGAGGAGACTCCTGCGAGGCCCTTGGGCTGCAAGGCGATCAAATCAGTCAGTCTTAGAGGTGATCAACCCTGACTGCTCTTTAGAAGGCCGGATACTGAAAATGAAACTCAGATACTTTGGGCACCTAATGAGAAGGAAGGACTCACTGGAGAAGAGCCTAATTCTGGGAGCAATTGATGGCAAAAGGAGAAGGAGACAGCAGAGAATGAGGTGCCTAGATGGAGCCACTGAAGCAGTTGGCGTGAGCTTAAGTGGAATCTGGGGGATGGTAGAGGACAGGAAGGCCTGAAGGAATGTTGTCCATGGGGTCGCGATGGGTCGGACATGACTCTGCGACTAACAATAGCAAGGGAGCAGGCTAAGCCCCTGAAACTTCTGATGAAGATTTGGCAAACCCCGTGAAAAGTGTGCACACATGAAAGTGAAGTGGTGCATATATGTGGGATGGGATGGTTTTTATTCTAAGTGAGAAATTACATTTAGGCATTTGTTAGGATCTACCCTGCTTTTGCATTTCTTATAGCCAAGTTGGGGTGGTTTTGTTCTTCAGATGTGTGTTCTCAGAAGGGAAAGGGACTTTGTGCTTTTCAGATAGACTTCATTTGGTGAACAAAATGCTGTTCTCCCATAGTGCAGTGGGATGGGGGTGGATAATTTGTTCATGATTTGAGATGTCAACCTGGCACTCCAAGATGTTTTAGACCAAATCTTCTGAACCATAGACATGTCAGGAATGAAGAAAAGTTTGCAATGAATCCTGCCACTCTCCTGCCTTTTCTAGAAATACCTTTCAATAATGAATCTGCCCAGACATGGGTAGGCTGGTTTAGCCCTCAATTCCTGCATTTGTGTACATATTCTAGGCTGCCTCAGTAGACAGTACTGTGTTCTATGGAAAGAGTCTGTAAAGCACCATTCTATGTTCCTGTTCATCAGGATTTTAAATTAGCACTAAAGGCTCCCCTGATCTAGGCCAACATCTTTGGTCCTTTTAGGGCTTCTGTGGAAGTTCATGTGGGATGGCCTGGAGGAGCTGCTTTTCAAGTTCGTGAATGGCTTCCAAAACCCAGTAATTCCCCCACCTCCACTTTTTGAAATGTATGATGTCAGAAGCTGCTGGAAACTGGCCAATGAATGTGTTTGTACTGCCAGGGTTGACTTCCCTTAAGACAAAGTGACATCCACTAAGCAAAGTAAACACAAACCATCTGTTGAATCCATAAATGCATGCTCCTTATTTACTCATTTAGCCTTGAGTTATCCGTAGACTGCAGTGCACATCCTCCTAAGGTCAGTAATAAATCTGTTGATTTGAATTAATGTGGACATTTGTTTTCCTTAACAGTTTTTGGATCTTATACATAGGGTTCTGGAGAAATTGGCTCTCTGTATTCCCAATTCATTTGCTTTCTCTACCCACCTTCAAGGACATCTTCCCTCAGGCCTCGCCTAGGAGCATAGGTCTGCCAAAGATAGAGCGAAATAGCTTCCTTACAAAAGGGATTCTTAAATATGATGTAATGCCACTGCAGATAGACTTAAAAGGTTTTATATCACCTTGCATTGTCTGATAATGCCTTTCTGAGGAGTCAGTTCACAGATACATCCCCTAAAGCAGAATTCCTGAATAGGACTTTAGTTCTAAGTCAGCTCAAGTTGCATCCATGCACTGTCCTTTCCTGGCTGCCTGAGTGATTGAGGACTGCATGAACAGCAGGATGACTGTTAGGAATACCTGTTATTAGGATTAAGGTAGTTAAGTTTTGGTTCTGAAATCCATGTATCAAACTATGGGTGTCAAATTCCTTAGCAACTCTCAAGGCAGAAATGTGGTTTTCCATGCAAACTGATCTTTTGTTGGCAACAGTGGTATGACGCTCATAGTTGAGATACCTACACATGTGACTGTTTAATATAGTGCTATATATATGTTTTTATTAGAGCTGGGATGCTAAATATAGGACCAAAGATAATTCTTGGCAACATGTGGCACATCTTGGTCTTACAGTGTAAAAACACTGCATGTGCCAAGTGTTGTATCATACCCTGATTCAAGCAGGACTCAGATTTGTGTGTGTGTGTGTGTGTGTGTGTGTGTTTACACACACATGTGCATAGCAGGAGGCAGGTTCAGCCTAAGGACTGCTAGTTGCCTAATCCCTCTGCTTAGCCTCATAACAGTGCCTGACAGTCTTCTTTGCTTTTCTTGTTCAGATATACGAGCAAAACAGAGACTTGTATACAGTGGAAGCCAACAATGCACGGCAGTTGGTGGAAAGCGCAGCGCGGGAAATCGAAAAACTCCTGAGTAACAGATCCACAGCTCTGGTGGTAAGTGTGGGCTGCCTTCTGGGTGTTGTGGTTGCAGTTAATTATTCTGCAGTTTCTCTCTTAAAAATTCTTCTTGAGTCTTCATGGTCAGTTGAAGCACGTCGGCAATTCTGTGCCATTGTTTTCTGCTCGTGAACTTTGCAGCAGTGTCACCCTGATTTGTGCAGCATGAGATCTGTACAGAATGATGACTTTTGACTTGGTGATGGAAAATCAGCTCATTAGTTAGCTAGCAGAGGACAGATACTTTGGTTATTGATTGACAGATTGGAAGCCTCTTGCCAAATGGCAAATAGCTTGTGGGATATTCTTATCCTGATGCCTGTGACATGAGGATGCTTATACTAATTAACATTTTCAGAGCTTGATGAGAAGGAACAGAAGAGTAGCAAATAATTTGGGTTGGGCATATACAGTGGTGAAAATGTTGCCAGGCAGTATGAGACTAGCCATTAAACAAAACAAAACAAAACAAAACAAAACAAAACAAAACAAAACAAAACAAAACATGATCTCTATATTTAAAAACATGATCTGCAATTTCTTTAGGGATCAGTGAATTACATTTTTGGGGGTTTAATGTTGTAGAAGAACAGTAGTCTTAAAAGACAGCAATGGGACATAATATAATGTGAGGCTGTAGAGGCTGGAACCCAGAACCAAGAGTTGGATCTCTTATCAGAGACATAATGACTCCATCAGATCTTCAGTAACAATCTGAGCATTTAGATGGCTTTTGGGTGGTGATGGGTGTTCCTTCTGTGATGCGTGTTCCTTCCTTCTGCCAAGCACAGAGAGTAGCTCTGCTTTATTCCCAGCTGCATTCTGAGCCAAAACAGAATCTGCCACGCCCCTCTGTCATTTGGAGGCTGGTGAGATTTGAGCAGTCCTGTCTGGAGAACATCAAAAGCCCCACTCTTTCCCACTGACTTCCTCACTTGACTTGCTGCTGCAGTGACAGCAGTGGGATGGAGTATGCGGGAGGGGGCAGAAGTCTTTCCCTCTCCATTGCATGCAGTTCTGGTGGGGGGACCGAATGTCCATCTCCATCACTGTTGTCAGAGCAGCAAAGAAGGTAAATGGGTATGTGCAAGGAATTTTGGAAAAAGGTGAGAGAGCGACTTTGTGTTTATCTCCTCCCTATTGGAAACATCCAGGTGAGAGAACTGGGACTGTACTGAGGCAAGCATCACACACCACCTAACTCATAACTCCAAGATGGAAACTTGGCCACATCATTAGTCAATAGTAAAAAACTGTGTGTGTGTGTGTGTGTTTTGTGTTTTTTGTAGTGGGTGGGCTGAAGGGTTTTAAATTGTATTTTATTGTATTTGTTTTTAGTGACTCTACGTCTGGCTGCTGCTTTTATGGGGTTGCCTGGGGAGCGTGCGGGCACCACCATTGGGGTAGTGTTGGGCAAGGGAAGATACGGCATTGGGGGATTAACATGTCGGCATAGAAGAAGGAGGAACAGATGGTTGGTACCTGTTCTTCCTTCTGGTTATTCCTCCAACCGGAAGGTTCCGGGTAAGCTTATCAACTGCCCCTCGGGCCTGACGGTGCTGCTGCTTAATGCCAGGTCGGTCCATAATAAAACATCCCTCATCCACGACTTAATTGTGGATGAGGGGGCCGACCTGGCTTGCATTACAGAGACCTGGATAGGAGAGGGTGGGGATGTAGCCCTCTCTCAGCTGCGCCCGCCCAGGTATCTATTCCAGTACCATTCACGTCCGGAGGGGAGGGGAGGGGGGTCACTTTAATTCACTGAGCCTCTATTTCCCTCACAGGGCTTCCTGTTCCCTCGAGACCAGGTCTAGAGTGCTTATACCTGGCATTGGGCGACTGAGACAGATTGGGGATTCTGCTGGTGTCCCATGCACCCTTCTGCCCATCAGACTCTGTGCCGGGGGGGGGGACTTCAATCTCCACGCTGAGACTGTTTTGACCGGGGCGGCTCAGGACTTCATGGTCTCCATGACGGCCATGGGGCTGTCTCAACATGTCATAGGCCCAACCCATGAACGTGGTCACACGCTGGACCTGGCTTTCTCGACGGGGCAGGAAGAGGGTGATTTGAGGGTGAGGAATTTGTGTCTGACTCCCTTGTCATGGTCAGATCACTTCCTTGTGAGGTTTGAGCTCGGAGCTGGCCTTTTCCTCTGTAAGAGTGCAGATCCTATTGTGATGGTCCACCCTTGGAGCCGGATGGATCCAGATGGATTCCTGAGGGCTCTGGGGGATTTTCTGGTTGATAAAGCTGGCACTCCTGTTGATGCTCTGGTTGAACTTTGGAATGGGGAAAAGACCAGAACGATTGACATGATTGCCCCTAAGCGTCCTCTCCTGCCAAGCAGAACCCGTCCATCTCCATGGTATACATCTGAATTACAGGCAATGAAGTGTGTTGGGAGATGACTAGAGCACAGGTGGAGGAAATCACGGGATGCATTTGACCGAACATGTTTACGTGCTCATTACTGAGCCTATGCTGTGGCGGTGAGGGCGGCAAAGAAGAAATTCTTCTCCACTTCCATTGCCTCCTCACAGTGCTGTCCAGTGGAACTTTTTCGAGTGGTACATGGGCTGATACACCCTGGCCCTAAGAAAGATCCTGTACCACCATTGATGGCCTGCTGTGACAACTTTGCTCAGCACTTCAAGGAGAAAATTGCTCAAATTCGTCACGAGCTGGACTCCACAATTGATTCAGATCCCTTAGGGGAGATACCAATGACCCCTTCTGGTCAGATATTAATGAATGAATTTCAGTTAATACAGCCCGATGATGTGGACAAGGTACTTGAACAAGTATGTCCTACCACCTGTTTACTCAACCCTTGCCCTTCATGGCTGCTCATCGAAGCCAAACACGGGATTGGTTCCTGGATCCTGGAAGTTATTAACGCCTCTTTGAGGGACAGCCGGGCGCCCGCTCCTTTAAAGGAGGCAGTAATCAGGCCTATCCTAAAGAAGGAGTCTCTGGATCAAGAGATGGCCACCAATTATAGACTGGTGATCAACATCCCGTTTTTGGGCAAGGTGTTGGAACGGGTGGTGGTGGGACAACTCCAAGTACTCTTGGATGATACTAATTATCTGGACCCATTTCAGTCTGGGTTCAGACCCGGGTATGGTACTGAATCTGCCTTGGTCACCCTGTACAATGACCTGTGCAGGAAGAGAGACGTTCTTCTGGACCTCTCAGTGGCTTTCGATACCATTGACCATGGTATCCTTCTGGGTAGGCTAGCGGGATTAGGAGTAGGAGGCACTGCTTGGCAGTGGTTCCGCTCCTACCTTGATGGCCAATTCCAGAAGGTGGTGCTGGGGGACTTTGGCTCTGTGCCATGACAACTTTGCCATGGAGTACCGCAGGGTTCCATTTTGTTCCCCTTGCTATTTAACCACTACATGAAACCGCTGGGAGAGGTCATCAGGAGGTTTGGGCTGCGGAGTCATGCTGATGACACCCAGCTCTACCTCTCTTTTTCAACTTAACCCAGGTGAGGCAGTGGCTGTACTGAACTGGTGCCAGGCCGAGGTAATAGGCTGGATGAGGGTGAATAATCTGAAGATCAGTCCAGTAAGATGGAGGTTCTGTTGGTGGGTGATTCGAGCTCCTGGGTAGGTGACTTGGGCCTTGCCCTGGATGGGGTTGCACTCTGTCTAAAGGACCGGGTCTGCAGCTTGGGAGTGCTTCTCAACCCGGAGCTGTCCTTGGAAGCCCAGGTGACAGTGGTGGCAAGGAGTGCCTTCCTTCAGCTTCGGCTAATCTAACAGCTGCATCCCTACCTGGAGAAGGATTGCCTAGCAACAGTAACACACACATTGGTTACTTCCTGGTTGGATTTCTATAATGCGCTTTATGTGGAGCTGCCCTTGAAGACAGTTTGGATACTTCAGATGGTGCAAAATAGAGCTGTCAGGATGCTGTCAGGGACTGGGCATTATTCTCATATATCCCCAGTCCTCTATCAGCTCCATTGGCTTCCCATCGAAGTCCAGACTCAATTCAAGGTGCTGGTTATTACCTATAAAGCCCTAAATGGCTTGAGACCAGGACACCTAAAGGAACGCCTTTTTCCCTATTTGCCCTCCTGCCCCCTGAGATCAGCAACAGAAGCCCTCCTCTGGGAACCCTCTGTGAAAGATGTTAGGAGACAGAATACCCGGAGGAGGGCCTTCTCTGTGGTGGCGCTCCCCAGAGAGGTCCGCCTGGTATCATCATTGTATGTTTTTCAGTGCCAGGTTAAGACCTTTTTATTTATAATATTTTAATATGTCTTAATATTGAATTTTATGGTTGTATTTTTATTAATTTGCAGCCAGAGTGGGTTGTCAATTTTATTTATGTTGTAAGCCGTCCAGAGACGCAACTAATTGGACGGCATATAAATTTTATAAATAAATAAATAGTCTGATCATTTGTCTATTAGTCTTGGTAGCTAGTGCTACAAAGGTACTAGTGTGAGAGCCAGTGTGGTGTAGTGGTTAAGACCATGGGACTGGGACTCAGATGATCTGGGTTCTAGTCCCTGCTCAGCCATGGAGCCAGCTGGGTGACTTTGGGCCAGTCACAGACTCTCAGCCCAACCTACCTCACAGGGTTGTTGTTGTGGGGATAAGATGGAGGAGGAGATGTAAGTTGACTTGAGCCCTTTAGGAAAAAGGCAGGATATAAATAGAAAATAAATAAATAATAAATAAAATAAATAAATGCAGTGAATTAAACCTTAACTTGTAGTCTCCTAAATCCAGTGATTTTCACCCCTTGCTGCACAGTCTTATAAACTAATCTTGGGGTCTCTGCCATTGTTCTATTTAAAAGAGGATTTTGTTTTTCATTCTTCTGTGCCCCAGTCTACTAAGGCAGTTTGTTTATTCTGCATCTGATGTGCCTGCTGATTCCTTTATCACAAGTAGGCTTCATGGTTTCTCAGTATACTACTATCCCCCAGGATATTTTGTTACGCCTGTGAAACTCTCTCGTTATCTTC